CCTCAGCCTCCGGGGCCACTGGGATTACAGGCCACACGCCCATGGATCCTGTGCCTCAGCCTCCGGGGCCACTGGGATTACAGGCCACACGCCCATGGATCCTCCTGCCTCAGCCTCTGGGGCCACTGGGATTACAGGCCACACACCCATGGATCCTGTGCCTCAGCCTCCGGGGCCACTGGGATTACAGGCCGCACGCCCAGCCCTCCACTCAGGGAGCTCTTGAAGCCGCTCACTCTCTGGCAGGCCCCGGCCTGGACCTCGAGGTCACGCACCAGCCTTCCAGGTGACCGCGGGGTAGGATAGGAAAAGACAGGCTCTTTTTCTTCCAGGGCTTTAAGAATCTGGACTACTATTTTATTGAATTTTTACAACTCTATTTCAGACTCCTTTTGGACTCAGGCAGTGCTGCGACGCCATTGTGGAAGGAGGAGACCTAACGTAGATTTTGCACTCTTGCCCACTGTGCTTTGGGTCCTAAGGTGGAAATGGTGCTGACTAGCAAGGCTAATCATCTGACGCTTTGAGACATGATTTACATCCGCCATTCCCCAAAGGCCTCCCTTCTTTCTATTCATGATCTACGTTTTGCTCAGAATGGCATCAAGGGAGTGAGAAAATTACCTGTAATTCTTGTTGTCTGAGCCGAGACTGTCACAACAGATCACTGTTCTGGGAATGCAGGCACTAGAGCAAGCTGGGAGCGGGCTCCTAACTCTTCCTCCCCCGTCGTCTCCCCTCCATTCCACTCTGGCCAGTCTCCTGGTCACCATCAAGTGGTGCCTCCCTGCTGCCAGCCCCAGGGCAGTGGGAGGGGCCTCACCAGACACCTGAAGAACCCACCCCCCACCCCAGGGAGCTTCAGGCAGCACCAGCAGGAGGTGGGACCCAGCGCAGCACCCCCAAAGGCACCCCATCAAAGGACTCTCCTGAAACGCAAGTCCAAGTGCAGCTCTTGGCTCCAGACCCCCATTCATCAAGGCAGGCCCCACTGGGACCTTGTAATCAGCAGCAGTCATGCCTCTCTCCGTGTGAGGCCATCTGTGACCATGATCCTGCAGGAAAGACCTCAGCAGGACGCTAAAGAGGGACCGACCAGGCTTGTGATTTCACTAATGGGGGTGATGTTTCTCCCTCTCTTAAAAAGGTGCGGGTGAATGCTAACCATACCTGTTTCTTCAGCCTCTCTTAAAGGCCACCTGATTGGGTTATTTACATGTCATTTTGCAGACTATTGGAAATACATACAGATGGGCCTGTGGTCTGGGAGGCAGCCCCTTCCCATTCTAGTGTACCCAGTCCTGGGCCAAGTGCAGAACAAGTACACTCTGAGAGACGAGAGGCCATGGTGAAACCTGCCTGCCTCGGGCAAGGTGGGCACAACCCCCGGAGCAGAGTGGAGCCTGGAGAGGTGGACACAGCTCACACCAGCATACCTGGGAGCAAGAGTGCCCGCAGGCCGCAGGCCCCCTGCCGCTCGCCCCACTCCCCAACCCAGTTCACCTCTTTTCAGTTCAGACTTTTGAAGACTGGCTTTTCAGATCATTGACTGAGCATGTCTTTTAATGGGATGATGGACAAACACACACAACACTTAAATATCAAAATATTCCCATTTAAAGAAACTTTTAAATCTCTGGGTTTAATGTAATTTATCCGTAGCACTATTTCCTATCATGTGCACGAACTCCAATTCTTTCTCGGGCCCATCTCACTTCCCCTATTAAACTGCATGGCCCCAGTGGACGGAGACCACGTCTGACACAGGACTTAAGCCCCGATAAAACCTAGGGAGGAAGCTAGCATCCAGGCCCTTCCTCTGCAGGACGCAGTCTTCAGGGGGAATGGAAAGGAGGTGAGAAAAGAGCCTGGCATTGAGAAGAGCTGGCTCTGCCTTGTTCATCCACCCTACACCTTGTTACACACCCAGAGACAGCCGCCTCCTGTCTGATGGGTGACTCCTGCCGCCCCACAGAGAACACGCCGGCCCCCGTGTGGCTCCAGCCATTCCACCACCTGCTAGGTTCTTTCCACAGCCCTCTACCTTTGCATTTTTTATTTCCCGTCTTTAGTTTTGTGGTCTTTGAAATTGTAGGCATCCAGTTTTAGTAACTCTTTCCCACTGCTCTCCTCAACTGTCACCAAAATCTCACATGGTCCCTGGCTTTACAAAGCCACACGTTGGGTCTCTGCAGCTGGTGCTATGGGGCTCTTTGGTGGTGAGAAACCTGGCACAGTGCTCAGTTATAAAGCCATAACGGCCACTGCGATCAGCTGTCCAGTGCTCTGCAGAATGGCCTGAGCCAGGGAGATCCAGGGCTGGCAGCATTTTCCAACTGAACTGGGGCCCAAACAGACCAGACCTAGGCTTTCTGAGGCCAGGGACATTGTCAAGTCTGAAACTCAGCACCAGGGTTATGGCTTGTGTCTTCCAGCCCTTGGAAGGGCCAGCACTGGGCTGAACTGTCCTCATGGTTCCTCTAGGACAGGCCAGAGAGACCTGAAGTCCTTGGGTAGGCCAGTTCTCCTCTGTGCAGTGATCCAGCTCATCCCTCTGATCCTCCCCAGCTGCTTCTTTGTAACACGGTAGATGAAGGGCCTTTTGGAAATGTCATGAAGGACAGAAACGAGAATGGCACTCTGTGGTCTTGGCAGGTGGCTCAGGAGAAGACCCAGGAGGTGCTGAGCAAGCTTCTTCAGAGGTTGTCCACGGACCCACGGACAGGGAATGGACCACTGCTGGGTTCAGAGACAACCAGGACGAGCCTCCTCTGGTGACTCAACCCAGCCACATGTTCCATCACGACAGCACAGGGTGAAAGGCTGTGATAAAAAGGAAGTGGAGGCCGAGAGACACCTAAAGTGGGTGGAGGAATAGAATCAGGGCAGAACATGCCAATGAGAAGAGTCAGTTTTGTCTTTGAAGAAAAAGGAACACAGAGGGTGCACCAACTTCTCCTGCCTTGAGAAAGGATCAGTAGCTGGCCCTGCTCAGCTAGGCCATTCTTCCAAGGTTTTGGCTGGACTCTCACATCTGCAATCAGCGAAGGGCAGACAAGCTGTCACACAGGGGGACGGGGTAACGAGGCCCTTTTCTCTCATCATGCAGCAGGAGAGACCAGGCTCCTTCTCTTGGTGGTGGCTGCAAGGTTCCCAAGAGCAGCAAGCGAGGACAAACTGAATGCACAAGAACCTTTCAAGTCTCTGCTTATGTGACATTTGCTACTGGGCCATGGTCAGATCAAACCACCTGGCCAACTCCAAATTCAGGGGTGCCACTTCTTAGTGAGAAGGGAAAAGTTCTTGGCTATTTTTGCAATCTACAAATTACAAAATCCAAAAGGTTCTTGCTTTGGGATTTAGGCAAGAGTAGGAACGGGAAGGGCTCCTTTCCGAGAAGACAAAACCGTCATCTACCAAGGCATCCTTGCCAGCAGCCCAGTGATGCCAAGAGCTGCAGGCTCACCCCAACCATGGCAGAACCAGGGTGGCAGAAAGAACTCAGCAAATGAAAACCAGGAAAGACTGAGTGGTAATTATGGGAAGATGCCCCACATTCCAAACATAATCAGACTGGGCATTCTTTTCCTCTCGAATTCTTTCTCATTCTTTTCCATTGTGCAGAACTTGTTTCTCCTCTTGTTTTCTCTCTCTTCTCATCCATGTGTGCAATTTAAGCATTTACCAAAGGCACCTGATGACAACTTAATCAGAGTGCAGACAGGTGGGGCTCTGTATATGGCACCAACCTGTGGCAAGTCCAGGAAGGAGAGGAAAAGAAGAGCCCCTAAGGTGCAAGACTCAGGTGTTGACAGGTGCAGCAGAATGAGAAAGAGCAGTGTTATGTCCTCAGAATGAAAAAAGAAATACCACTTAGACAGGTTTCCAAAATGGTATACTACTCTGTTACGTCACTGGAGAACTGTGATTCCGAACAGCAAACTGAAGCCACTTCTGTGACAGTCTGGGAGGTCACTGTCACTGAGGTCACCAGAAGCTCTCTGGTTCTAGTGTCGTGACAGTCACTGGCTAGTGACTGAGAAGCATTGGGGTAAAAGGGGTATTTTGCCTTGAAATTATCTCCGCCCACCAGCAGGCCTTCTAATGGGAGTACATTCTTCAGTTGCCAGGCAGAGCACGGGAGTACAGAAAAGCAAACTGTAGGCTCAGGCAGTTTCTGGAGACCAGCAGACCAGGGCTGACTCTTTCTGAATAGGAAGTGAAGTCCCGGTTCCACTCAGGAAGGAGACTGGGCAGGAGAAACTGGGGGAGACACTCGGTGTGCGCTGTTGCACATGTTGTCTTCTTGATGAGCTTCTCAAACTAGCTAGAGGGGCACTGAGGTTGGGAATCAGCCTCCTGTCCCCTGCCGAAGCAGAAATCAGTAGATCTTCCAAGGTGGTGGCCAGAGAAGGTCCTGGCCTGCTGGCTTGCATCTTGTCGCTGTAGTCTGTGTCTGACTTCTGGTCCTCCAAAGACATCTTGAAAACATCAGACCACAAGGGACATCCTGGTTGGAAACTCACTCTGGGGAAAAGCAGAAAGAGTCTAACATTAAACTAGAAGATACTTAAAGAAAGCAACAACACAAGAGTTGGCTCACTGGGCGGAGTCCAGAACCTGTTCACAGCAGGCACATCCTGACTCTGAACTTGTGTTGATGTCCCCAAGCCTCAAACGGGGCTGAAGCCCACAAATAGCAGACAGAACTCTGTTCCAGGCCTGCAGAATGACTTACCAGCGCCTTAAGAATAGCTACTATGTTTACCCCGTGCTCCCAGTAGCAAGGGAGGATGGTGTACTATAGACCTGAAGCCCCTGAAAGTTTCCTCCCTACTCACAGTACTTTGGCCATTGCTTTCTTCTATTTAAAAAACAAAAGGCAATTGTTTGGAGGGATTAATGACAGGTCAAGCCTTTTTTTTTTTTTTTTCTGTTGCTACTCCTTCTCCCTATACTCTCCATTAAGGAAAATCTCCCTTGGACTATGGAAAAGCAACATGGCCGGGAGGCGGAGTAACTGAGCAGGGGCAGAGGCACTCGGTTGTGGAGAGCTGCCTCCAAAGTAGGGCTGGAAGCCACTCTGGCACCTCACTGTGGACATCTGGGACAGACCCCCGGTGTTTGTCAGAGGTCCAGGTCTCAGGTTCGGCGGCTGAGGGACAGAGTGGGTTGTCTGCATTTAGACAGCAACAGTCTACATAGCCACTCAAGGGGGGGGGGGTGTGGAATATAAAGGAACTGGGCAGCTGAGCTGGGACCCAGGATTTCCTGCACACCCACGAGGCACAGTACACAGTTTACACTCAGTAAAATGTGAAAGGAGGAAAGAAAAAGCAAGCTGTCCTTTGTAAAGAGCAGGGGTTCCTAACCTTCTCTGGATGGGGGCTCTTTCAAGAACTTTCTTCGAGTTACGGCGATGGGGAGTGTGCACCCAGCACCCCCGCGCTCAAAGCTCCTTCGACGCCGCCTTTGGCTTTCTGCCCTTCCCAACTCTGCAGGGCCACGTGCTCCCTCCCTTCGCCCGCTGCACCCGCGAGGACCCGGACGCCCCCGCACCCCCGCCCACCGTTTTCTTGGCGGGCTCCTTCTTCCTGCGCTTCTCCGAGCCGCCGTGGTGCGGCAGGTCGCGGCTGCGCCAGGACGGGCCGCGGCTCAGCTCCCGCTCGCTGTAGGGCGGCAGCGTGTCGTCGGGCTCGAGTTCCGCGTCGCCGGGCCGGGACTCGAAGGGGGCGGGCGGAGACCAGGCGTAGTAG